AGTTTATTTTTTACTGCGATCATAAGGCTTATCTTACTCGTATAGATTAAATTATTTCGTGAAAAGTGGCAACATTTTTCAACTTATTTTATAGTCACATAAGTATCCTTTTGTTATGATGATTAAATTATTCTTAAATTTATTTATTTATACTTTTGAAATTGACTTTCGTTGAAGTTATCACACTTTTATTAGACATATCATTATCCTGTACAATAGCATATGTATGTATGAAGGATATTTAAGTATGTAATATAATACTTTCGTCAAAATTTTGTGTTCCATATCATAATAAAATTCTATAATGATAAGACCAAAACAAAATAAAACAGAAGAGAAAACAAAACACGTAAAAACTGGTACAATAACTCATTCTTTTGCATAATAAAAAGGACAATAAAGGACAAAAAATAAATAAATACATCGATTTATTCATAAATATATTATTTGTGATGTGAGGTTAACGTATGCATATACAAATGTACACATTTGATTGGATGTGTTTTTTAAAAATTGTCTGATTCAAATTGAAATTTCGTGTTTTATTTTTCATGTATCATAAGAAATTGTTAATGTGGAACTGTGAGTATTGCGAATCGTTAATGTGGAAATTCTTTTATTTTGACTCTCTTTAAAAATTTTTAAAATATTTGTTTAATATCATTTAGATTTTTTTTTTGGTTTATTGATATGCCACGTCACTAATGAATCTTATTTCTGAAAGTTGTTTGTTGATAGAATGTTTGTGAAAAAAAGTTTGCGTTGGTGGATGAAATAGGATATTATTATGTTATTCAAATTGTTATTAGTTCACATTTTAATGAGCATTATGAGCGGTAATAATTGGAACAGATATTTGTAACCCTTAAAAAACTTTAAGCAAAATTAAGGAGAATAGAGGATTTCATCCTTCGAAGTATTTTAGAGATTAATCTCAGACAACTCAATAGACTTTGGCATTAAAAATCACGAAATTTTTAATTCACGTAAAATTTATAGGGAGATCTCTATTTAAGACAATTTTTAAAAGCAAATTTTAAATAATTTTGAATAATGCCCTCAAAAATGAATAATTAAATGACTTTAAAAGTTTGAAAATAGATTTTAAAAGTAAATTGAAAATTTTACTCCTAATGAATGGGTGTTTAAATTTGTTAGGAATTAAACTTTTAATTTGTTTTCTGAATAATTTATTCCGGAAATTTCACGTGAAATTTTGCGGGTCACAAAATTCTTTTTTTTCTTCCCCGCTTATAAAAAATTTTGGGAAGGTTTTATTTGTTTCTGGAACAAATTTGCCAAAAATATACAAATGTATTCTAGAAGTTTTAAGCCAGATTCACTGCTGGACTAAAATCTTCGATTTAAATTATTTTAGTTTTTCAAAATTTCTTGGTCATTTTGGCCTACTTTGGGAATCATTGCGTCATAAGTCTTTTTCTATACAAAAACTCACACTTTATGAAAATAAGATTAGTTGTTTTGAAAATTAAAATCAGAAATGTGTCGGATTTTATAAATTTTACTTTAAACGACATTTAATTTATAGCCATTTCAAATTTTCATAAGAAGAGTAAAAAGTTGTGTTTTAATTAGAATCAAACGTAATGTTTTTAATTTCAGAATCTTTTGGAAGTGAAGCAAGACAACTTCTATTTGATTCAAACAAAAAATTTATTGACACCTTGACAAAAAAAAAAGGTTGAATTGGGTCAAGTAGGTTAAAAAATGGGACAAGAACGTTAAACTTCATTGCTACTGTCGCTCTTCCTTTTTCTTTCCTTTCAAATGTTTCTTTTTCTGCATTTTAAATTTAATTCTCAAATAAATTTAAAATTTTCGCATATATTGCAACAATAAATTGCATAGGTAAAATAAATGAATCAGTTTAAATTTTCGTTTTAATAAAGAATAAAAATTAAAAAGAAAATTTAAAAAATTTCATTTTGAAATTAAATTGTATAAAATTAAAACGACACACAGATTTCTTTTTTTTTTGCTTTAGTTGTTCATTCCATTTTTATGTATTTGATGGCTGATTGAGAATCTTTAGTTCTCATTTGATAGTTTTGTTTTTGGGACACAAGGTAATTAAGAATTTTTTTTTGTATCTTTGGATTAATGTAGAATTTTGCGAACAATTGGTTGAACACAAATTAAAATTAAAATTGCAGTATTAAATAAAGGGGCTCTGTGGTGTCGAATTTATTGAATGTCGGTATTAAATTAGTGACATTTTAATTGCCTTTTGAAATTGAACATAAATTCTTCATTTAATCACCAAATTTTAACATATTTCAAGTTATATCAAAGTTCTTGCATTTTGGAAAAAGCAAATACTGGAACCCATTTTCTTGGGAAAATCTAATTATTTGCTAGACAAAATGAGAAATTCACTATTGTGTTGTTACAACAAGTAAAACTTGTCTAAGCGCACTAGTAGTTCTTACTACAAAATTTGTTATAATTATAACTTTTTACTACAACAAATTCCGGATAATTATAACTTCATTCCAGAATTAAATTTTAACTTTTAATTTTATATAATAAGCAGAAACTGACAATTTTTTAGAAATAATTAAAATTTTAGATTTATTTTTGCACAAATTTTATTTAATACGAGTACATTGGATTAAATTTTTTTTACTCTTTAAGATTCTGACGTTAGTAAATTTTTATATATTTATTGATTAAATTGCATTTTACTATTTTCATATTTGTTCTCAAGCTTCTCTACGAAGCTTGCTGTTCTCACTTTGTTGTTTGTAGAATTTTCACTTTCATATTAACAAGTGAAATATTGAATGTTTTATACGCAATAAGATGATACACCCGGTATAATATTATAAGAACTCAACATAATTTAACGAAAAAATAAATATGAGAATTCTCTTGTTATCTAACGGTACAACACCATATTCACCTCAATAGCATTATTTCGTTCAATATTCTACATCATATTATATATTAATTCAGTTAGTTTTAATGAAACCACCAAAGAATAAAGACTTTAATAAAATTTTAGTCTTTTAATAATTTGCTACCAAGGATACCATCATAATATTTGAAAAAAAGTTCATCTATTAACGCTATCCAATAATTTTAAATGTTTACTTTTTTAAATTTTATGATGTAAAAATAATTTTTCTTGATTTCTGTAATGATATTCTTTAAAAAATATTTAAAGAGAACGTATTCGAACAAAATACATATATATATATATCGTTTTTATTCAATTGAACTAAATGACTTCTCATTAAAATTATTTAAAAAAAAAAAATTAAAGGACATAAATTTTATTTTTCAATTATTTACGCGCCTCAATTTTTTATCTTCAATGAAAATAGTAAGTACAATCCTTTTTTGTTCCCTTTATCTTTTGAAAGACTTATAAAATGATTCTTAGATTAGACTTTATTACATTTTCTATTACAATTATTCGCCTTTTTTCTATGTATTTTTTTGTTTCCGTCTTCTTTTAAAATAATTTTCTTTATCTATCATGACATTTAATAAAAATCCAATCCAATTACGGTTACTGTCAAATACATAATAAAGAAAAAAAAAAATAAAAATGGTAGAGAAAAAAACGCATAAAATTTTTCTTTTATTATTTCTGAAATAAAATTTCCCAAAAAAAAAAAACTTTTTTCAATTTTAAAACATTTTCATTTTTTTTCATTTCTGTCTGAACGTGATCATAAAACTCCTTAAAGTAAGTATCATACGTACATGTAATTGTAAATGTACATTGTGAAAGATGTATGACCGTGAATGAGGCATACAACTAATTTGCAAGCAAAAAGTTTTATAGTCATGGTAAAAAGAAGGATCCATCTAATGAAAATTATTTTTTAGCTAATTAGACAGCCCTGTTTTTACCTTCCAAATCGATATAGTCTACTTATTCGAACAGTTGTCTTCAAAGGTTTTAGTAGTATGTGAAGATGTTTTATATTTTTGAAAAAACGTTGTCATTTTGAGAAAAAACCATTAGAATATAGGGGTGCGAGTATTAAATTCTATTTTGGAAAATCTTTTTTATTACAACTTAAAAAAACTTCTTAATTTTACCAATTAAGTTTTTAATATACTATACTTTTAATACTATATACTTAAAAAATTTTAAAGCATTATTACTTTGACTTGTCTAATGCAAAGCAATTTCTTTTTAACCAATCAGCGAAATTCAGCAATTTTGTTTATAATACAAAAATTTCGTAACATATCAAGTGTCTTTAAAACCAAAAACAAGTGCTAATTCCAAAGAAACTGTTGCTTAAATAGAGATTCTCGTTGAATTCGCTATGTAACTATTCTACTGTATATACAAAATTTGAGAGGAATATAAAATTAATCGAATACTGGCAAAAACATTACGTTATTTTTATAATTTTACATAAAAGATAAGTAGACCAAATAGGAATTTGAACTAACGCTCGACGGAAAAAAAATTATTTTTGATAATTGATGATGTTTCCACCACAATTTATAAAAGTTTCTTAAACGCGCTGCTTCTTCTCGTGTTTTGTGAAGTAATTGTATCTAACTTCTATTAATAATAAAAAACATTTCAGTATACTAAAAACATTCAAACCTCTTTTGATTGCGAATAATAATTTCTTGAGGAAACCCAATTTTTCTATTCAAAAAGTGCAGCAAAAATGAATCACAAAAATTATCCTTAAAAATCCATCAAAATAAATTTTTATTTCGCTTTTATTTAAATTTTTCATATCAAATATTCATTTTTTATTTTTGGGTCCCTTTTTTTATCAAGAAATAACTATTACCCTTAAAAATAACTAGAAAAAAAAATAATAAATTTAAGTTATATAACACATACATACCATATTTTTTTGGAAAAAAAAATGAAAAAACTATTATAAAATATCTAAGTTGAAAAGAGAAAGCAATAACAATAGAAAATAAATAAAATAAAAAAAAAGAAATTAGAAAAAAATGCTCATATGCAATGAATTAAGTGCCTTTAAAAGAATATGTTCTCATCAAAATCAAAACAAATTCGCTTACTATCAACATCTGGTAGTAATAGTAATAGCATCAGCGGTAACGCAAATAATGTTATTAGTGGTAGTAGCCCAAATCTTAATAGCAATTTTGGTAACAATACAACTAATAGTAACCATAAATCAGATGATTCAACAATTTGTAAAAATAATAGTGGCAGCAATAGCAGTGGTGGTGGTACAACCAAATTATCGTTATCATCAGAAAATGTTAGAAAAAATTCTATTGAATCTGTATCGGGTAATAACACAAAATCATCACCATCAAAATTATCATCTGATAAATGTAACTCAAGTGATCAAAAAAGCTCTAATGCCAGCAATAATAGCAGTAATAGTAACAGCAGTAGTAGTGGTGGAGGTTTATCATATTTTAGTTCTGGAAGTTTTACTAGAATTTTTAAAAGTTCAGCATCATTTGTACAAAATCCATTTAATATATCTAGTTATAGTAATAGCAGCAACAGTAGTAATAGCAATAGCAACAGCAATAGCCCTAGCAATAACAAAACCACATCGAATTCGACAGCAAATTCACAAACATTATCAAACAACGAAATTATTAATAATAAATCTGTACCTACAACAAAAAATATATCATCTTCGAAAGTATCTACAACATCAACCACAAATACAATATCAGGCACAACTACAGCAACCTTCTCTAATAATAATTCTAAAGCAGCTCCATTAGCAATATCAAACACTCACTCAGCAATAAAAATACAAAATGAACGGCTACAAACACACCAATCAAGCCAAAAATCTTCAACATTTTTAAAAGCTTTCAGTAATAGTAGCAATAACAATAGTAGTATTGTCGTTGATAATGGCGATAGTGGTAATGATTCTAATGAATCTCTTAAATCTAAAAACTCAAAAGATTTAAATAATAGTTTAAGTAATAGCATTGGTCATAAAAATTCAGAAAATATTTTCAAAACTATAAAAAAAACTGGTACTGGTATTTTATCACCCGAAGATAAAAAACTAACAACATCATCGTCATTAGCATCAAATACAAAATCTCAACAAGCAAATTTTTCTACAAATACAACAACAAATTCTAAATCGATTACAACATCTAATACAACAAATTTAACAAGAAATGGCAGTATACCCAAAAAGGACACAATATCATCATCGTCGTCAGCAACATCAATACCATCAACAATAAAATCGTCAACAAAATCAAAATCTTCGGGTAATGATTTGATAAGAATCTCTTCAGCTAGTGATATGTTTAAAACGGTCGGTGATTTAGTTGGTAAGCGTTCAAAAAAATCTCATTCAGTGTCATCATCATCTGGAACATCAATTACAAAAGTAACATCAACAACTGCAAATATAAATAGTAAGAATACTGATAGCAAAAATGTTATTATCACTTCAACCGTTGCATCATCAACAGTAACAACAAATAATACTAATTTAATAATACCAAATGGTTATCCCGGACAGAAAATCTCTAAAGATAACAATATAAACAGTAAGAGTATTGTTCAAAATAATAATAGTAAATCTGCTTCACCATTTTTTAAACCAATCACACAAGCGATTAAAAGAATTGATAATAATAATTCAACAACAGTAACACAACCACAACAACTTACATCATCTGCATCATCTTCGTCAACACTATCTCTAACAATGAATAATGGAAATGTACAGGGAGTGAAAAGTTTACATATCAATAAAACTCAACTGAATGAACTTTCACCAAGTGGAATACCGATAAATACATCAAAAACTTTAGTTAAATTAAATGATAAAACTGGTAATAGTGGATCATATACTTTTCATAATAAAAAATCACCTTCATCTGAACAACAGCAGCAGCAACAGAAAACAAGTGATTTCAGATCAAAATATAAAAGTCCATTAGATATGTCAATTATATTGCCACAAACGATATCGTCCGATTTAAATGATAATAGTATTAATTTTGATAATGATCATGAAGTTGAACAAACAATTGATCGTGTTGAAGAAGTCTTAGCAGCAATGGAAAATTCAGCAAGATTAGGTGGAAATAGTATTGTTAATAATACAGATTCACCATTAATGAGTAGATTTCTGTCCCCAACGAATGATTTAAACCGTCCACAACAACAGCAACCGATAACGTCTAATTCAATTGCTTTACAACAATTTCAGCAATATCAAAGTCTGAAAAACCCACCATCAATATTATTATCACAACAACAGCAGCAACAACATCAACACCATCAAACTGCCACTGTAAGTCCGTACAATTTTACAACAACTATAACGAAAAGTGCTACCTTAAGTTGTTCAGATATTAATGAACTCGAGGAAAAGGTGTCAAGTGCGATATCATCGGAAGTTGCATGCTTAAAAATTGTTGAAACGGTTGATGATATTTCAAGTAATCCAATAGCTAAATTAAGGAAATCATCATCAAATTTGTGTTCAACAACACAACAACAACGTAATTTAAGTAGTCAAATGTTAAAACAAGTTAATACGAGCATAGAAAATAATAATTATACAACAACACCACCTCCACCACCAGCGCCAAGTGGTCAACCACAGCAGCAACAACAGACATCATCATTTATTAGTTATATAATAGCGTCAACAACAGATTTACCAGATATTGAAGAGGAAGACATATTAACGGATAGCCCAACTACTCCAATTTCAACTAATACAGTGATTGGAAGTGGTAACATTACTAATTGTAACAACAATAATAATACTAATGTTGATATTGATGAAGATGATGAATTTTATTCTGCATCAAGCCGTAACCCATTTAATAATTTAGGGCAAACATTAAGATATCCGTCGCACTCAAATTTAACAGCAGTTGAAAAATATCCTGATCTTAGAAAACTGGCATCATCATCGACAGTTTCTTCTGTTTCTGTTTCATCATCAATCTCATCATCGCCGTCATTAATACAACAGAGTAATTTTGATCCAAACCGTACTAAAACTTTTAATAATAGCGGCAGTCCTCTTATGAGTTCAGAAGATATACGAAAAAAAATTCAACTAGAGTCATCAGCAAATGCACTTTACCATACTTTAACAAAAAAGAATAAACAACAACTGCAACAGCATCCAACACCACCTGATTCATTAGATCTATCGAATATTAATAGCAATAACTATAATAATTATGAAAATCATATAAAAAATTTATCAGAAATAAATAGTTCTTCATTGTTAACATCATCAAATACATTAACAGTTGGATGTAATGTTGAAATTGATGATAATACTATTCGTTTAGATGGTATTTTAGGTGGTACTGGTAGTACATTTAATGATATATTATCTGATTCAATTGTTGAAACACCAGAATTGAATAGTAATGCAACACAATTTGGTACAAATATTTGTAATGGCATTACTGGAGGTGGTATATTTTCATCAGGTGGTATTTTAACAAGTGCAACTGGAACAACAACGACACCTTCCTCAATTACATCAAACTTTCGTTTTAATGGTAATAATGACATAAGTGTTAATAATAATAACCATAATAATAATAATATTAGTAATTGTCATAACAGCAGTAACAGTAATAATAATATTAATAGTAGTAATAAAAATATATGTAATAGTATATTAAATAGTGCTAACTGTGGTGGTAGTTGTTCAATAAATAATATTGGTAATAATGGTGGTAGTATTATTATATTTGGTAATCAAAATCAATGTAAAATACCATCTCATGTTATGAATGCTGTACAACTATTTCTAGTAGAACATGGAAATGAATATATTCGGCAATTTTTACAGGTAAGTTTTAAATTTTATAAATTAAATAATTTGAAAATTTTTGTTAACTTATTAATTAAAAATGATTTTCGTGGTAGAAATTTATTAAATGAAATTTTAAGCAAAATTTTAAGGTGGTTTAAGCAAATTTTTTAAAGCAATCTTACATATATCTTGACTGATTCCTCGAGAATTCTTATTATTAAATTAAGAAAAATGTTAATACTACTAGTAATAGTTATTCAATTTAAAAATTATAACAGATTTTATGCTTAACAATTAAATTAGTTTTCATATAGGATTAAAAAATATTTTCTATTGTCGTCAAATTACTTACAGTTGATGAATTCGCATTAATTTTTTAAATCTACTGAAATTAATGTCCTTATCAAACGATAATTAATAAAAGTCCCATAAACAATTGATTCTTGAGCAGATTTCAAAGTTGATTATTTGCATTTGAAGCTTTTCTTATCTTAACAGATCATATTGTAAGGGCATCTCCTGAGTTTTCTTCTAAAAAATTTCGTTCTGTCAAATATTTTCATACCTTTAAATTAATATTATTAAAACACTTGTTCATGAAGGGCATAATAAGCTTGATATATTTAAATTTTTTTTGTTACTACAACTAGGTCACTTGCTTTTAGGCAAAAATTAATTTGTTAATTCCCTATAGAATATTTTATAAGTATGATTTGAAAATATTTTAAAAATAAATTATTTAATTACATTTTAATAAAAAATAATTTGCTTTTCCACTTTATTTTTGGATACTGAAGTTAAATTCGAATTAAAGTAATTGAAATAAATTTTTTGAAATTATTAAAGTTGTTCTTTATATTTAAAAAAATTTAATTCCTTTTACGAAAATCATAAACTTAAGCAATTTACGTATAGGAGTTTATTGAGTTTATGAATATGGTGTATATTATGGCGATTAAAATTCCTAAATCCCCTATACTTGAATATTTAAATTACATAAGTTTTTGTATTTACTTCATTATTTATTTTATATCACGATTATTTACAAAAAAAGAAAAACGGAAGAAAAAGTTAGATATGTATACGGAGCATCTCAGATATGTACGGGCATACGTATAAGCATGTGCGTTGTTCATTAAAAATCAAATTGTTCAGGGATTTTTACGCTTTAAAAAAATTACATCTACGTATGCAAGAACAGAATATACTTGTATATGCACATTCATATAGTAACATAAAAATATTAAATTGATTTTTCAGCGTATCCTGCTTCTCTCTCATTTACATTAATTGAAAATGATTGCGTTTCTTCCTTTTAGTTATAAAAAGTTTTTGTCTTTTTTTTTTTAAGTCGTCCCATCTTTATTATCTTTCCACTGAAGTTTATTTTTTTTTTTTCATTTCTTTAATTTTCTTTATGTGAATACATTGAATTTTTACACTTAAGTCAATTGAAACTTTATACATATTTTGGAAAAAAAGAGAAGTAAAACAAATCTCGGAGGGAAATGCAAAATTTACGAATTCAAAAAATTTTCATTGCGTACGAAAGTTAAAAAAATATTAAACGTTTATGTATTATTTTGTCTTATGAATATTTCCGCAAAATTGAATTGATTTGGGTATAGTTGGGAAAATAAAGTTTAGATTGTAAATATCAAGAATTTTCCTCCTAACTACTGAAAAATTTTAGTACAAATCTATTTAATTTTTTCCAGATATTTGTATATCGAGTTAACAAGGCCTGTATTTCATTACAAATATTATTCCTTATATTGTCATCACTAAGTATTATTGCGGGTGTTAATTTTGTGATTTTTCAACAAATTATGATCAGTCAATTAGGAATATTTTCAGAATTTTGAATGTTGAATGTAATCTTGCTACTGCTTTTTCTCCTATTAAAGTGTAAACATTTTAATAGGCGAATCCTACTAAAGTGTTATACTTAATAAATATTTTTCTAAATGATCTATAACTAATTTTAAACTGATTTGAAATACAGGATAATTTACTAATTCAGTTTGCAGTTTTCCGGTGCAGTACTCGGAGAAGTAATCGGTAAAAGAAACATGCTATGAGAAAAATAAATTAAAATTTATAATTTTTTTTTTAATTTCCTAGTAAAATTTTATTTTCTAATGGAATGAAAATAAATTACTTTAGTTTTTTGTATTCCGTAAATTAAATTTGTATATTCTAAACCATTATGAAATTTAAGAATGCAATATTTTTTATAATTTTAAGCTCTTAAATATTTAAATTTTTAAAGCAGCTATTAAATTTCATATTAATTAAGTAAAAAATCAATGATTCCATAAAAATTCAAATCAATAATATTACAAATATGTATAGCCATAAAAATTCAGATCAATAATATTACAAATATGTATAGGAAGCGGTAGGATTTAAAATTATTTATTAAAAATACTGACTGGCTACAACATTGTCTGGCTATAGGAAGATATTCAAAGAATATTTTCCCCATTTCTTACAATTTTATTTTTAACAGACAATAAATTAGATTGAAAGTTTAAATCACTAAATAAAACTCCCTATCAGAATAATTTTTTATTATTTCATTTTTCCATATCTAGTCTCATCAATATTGCGAATTCAGTCAGAATTATAAATTTTTTTTTCCAATTTTATTTTAACCCTCCATTACAGTTTTGTATAAATTACAATTATAAGCCTATTAGTCCTATAATAATTCCAATTAATCCTCTCTATATAGTCTTTAAGTCTTTTGGTTTTATGCCTTCACCAAATAATAATAACTTAAAATAATGTAAAATAAAAAAAAAAGTAGAAATAAAAATGAAATAAAAACGCAACCAATTTATAAAAATAAAGTTGAGATTCTCGCATTCCGCTATATTACCATAAAATAATAAAAAAAGCATAACTAGGCATAACGATAAAAAAAAGTGGCTTTTGTTATTAAATTAATTAAAATAAGGGGAAAAAAGATGGAATGGGAATGTTTGACAGGTTATTCACCCCTTGGGACAATATCAAATTTTACTTTTCTGTGTCTTTTTGATTTTTCCGTTTTTGTTATATAGACTAAATGAAAATATGAAATTTCAAATTTATTTGTACATATTGAGTTTGATATTTTGTTATTGAATATGAAGTTAAAAAGACTAATTTATATTTTTACCACCTTGCCCAGGAACAAACCCGAAATGTCAAATACCAATATTTGAATTTGAATTTTCAGTCTTCACTTTTATTAATTCAAAAAATTTAGTCGTGTTTTTTTACTGATATTGTAAAGTTTTTAAAATATAATTGGAAAAACACGAAAAAATCTAAATATTTAGGGAGGCATCCTGATTTACTTCCTTATAATTTGTTATTTTCGTATTAGGACTCTTCTCTTCACTTTCCAAACCACAAATACAATGAATTCTAAGTATGAATAAACGAAATGTTTACTGTACGAGTAAGTTGAATTTTTTTAGCTTGCATTTAACTTTTTGCATAAAGCTGTATTATAGTGGTGTGATTACTTGCAATAAAATTTATTGAGTGGGAGGAAGTAGATTTTTATGTAATGTTAAAATTCTATTAAATAATAATTAAAAATTGTAGCGTAAAGGGTGGCTTTTTTTTACTGAAATGAAACTGTTATTCTAGTTTAATGCTAGTTATTTGATTTTTGCTCAATGTGAATAGGATTTCAAAATGAAATGCTCAAATTTGTTCACAAAATGATACGACAAAAACTTTTTCCAACGATAAAGCATATTTCTTTTTGAAATTTCTCTTATTTCTTTCGAAACCGGCAAACTATTTTCAAAGGATCCAGCGGTTACCTCTTAAAAGAAAAATAATTTCTTGTTTCAAATGGTGAAGCATAATAGAGAATATCTTTAATTTTTTTATCATGAAAAATGTAATTTCAAAATATGACGAATAATAAAAGAAATAGTCAAAACCTCATTACGATCTGTTCCAGCGCCGTTAAAAATATTCTTGATATTTATTTAAAACTTAAATATATTCGCTTGGTTATGGAGTCGTTTTTAACTATGAAAAATCCTCTATACGTGTGTATATATTACATCCTCTATACGTACTCGTGTAAATGTATTTATATTCTTAAAAATTTTTGCTTTTACGAAAAAAAAAAAAAGTTATTTAGGATATAGAAGCTAATGCGATAAAGTAGTTAAAAAATTTATGGTAAAGATTTTTTAATTAAAATAACAAAAAAAAAAATGACTGTACAGTTTGCGTTACACAATTTACATACACCAATATCTATCGCAGTAAACCATTGTACATTTAAATACATACATACATACTTACGCTAATATTACGTATTATATTCATTCTTTGTTCAAAAATTATATTTAGTTATGCTTTAAGGATAATAAATATAATTTTCGTATTTTGGGCACTTTTAAGCTTTAATTAAAAAGAAAGAAAAACAAAATTTTGTTATCTGTTTTTGTTTTTGTGAATTTTAATTTTTTTCTTTGTTGTATAAAACTTTTGGGAAATATCGACTTTTATTTTCTACTTTTTTTGCTAAAGCTATTCCAGTAGTGTACAAACTTAAAAACACTTTATAAAATGATGGGAAGACTATTTTTTGTTTTTGTTATTAAAAAAAATATTTTGTATGTATTTTGTGAAATTTTTGATATTGGAAACGTTTTTCATCAAGTTCTCAGTTTTATTTTTTTTTCACTTGACTTCTTGATTTACTCGCATATTGTTTCGCTACTTCTATAAGGAGGTTTTAGCTATATACTTTATTTAGTTTCAAGGTTTTTGTTTTCTTCAAAATTATATTGTATC